GAGACCAGACGGAGTTACAGAATAAAGCAGGGATTTATTAAAACATCTCCTCCATGGATGCACCTTGGGCAGCACCAGAGCCCAGCCAGGGCTGCACCCAAGATGAACCAAAATGGCCCCAAAATGCACGGCCGGGCACGGGCTCTGTCCCTGGGATCAGTTCTGCTCCATTTGCACCTTGCAGTTCATTGTCCCATTCCAGCTTTAGCCCCTGCAGTCCCATCCTTGTTTTTCTCTCTCCAGCCCACGGGGTTTGTGCTCTGGGGCTGAGATTTGGATCATTTGTCCTTGGTGCCCAGCTGGAGCAGGAATTGTTTTGTCTCCCTGCTCTGTGCACAGAGCTCACCACCCCATAATGTGAAGCCCAGACCCACACACTAAAGCAGCACAGAATGTGAAAAATACAAAAGCCAAACCTGAGGCATCAACAGGACACAGGAATCACCGGATCCCTGAGCTGCCTGCAGGATACCGGAACCACTCCTGGCACTGTGTCCCAAAGAGATCAGGAGGGCCAAGGAAAACAAAGATCAGCTCCTGCCTTTGCACAGCCTGCTGGGTTTGCTTTTAGCTTCTGAGACAACACACGAGACCTTCAGCAGGGCTCAGGCCTGGCCTGACACCCCCAGTGCTGAAGGAAGGCTCTGATCTCCCACAGGGGTGGGAAACAGGGAACTCACTGCTGCCTTCAGAGGCTGCCTGGAGCAGAGGCTGGGCAGAGTTACAGCAATAAATTGGTTTTTATTAAAAGCCCTTCACAGGACACACCTTGGGCAGTGCCAGAGCCCGGCCGTGGCTCCACCCCAGATGGATCCTGGCCACGAGTTCTCACACTTTGATAAGTTTGGGTCCATTTCCATGCTGGGTTCATTGTCCAATTCCAGCTCCAGGTGATGCAGTCCCACCCTCCCAGGTTGCTCCCCTCCATTCCCTGTTGTTTGCACTTTTTGGGCTGAAGCTGCAGCAGTGTCCTTGGTTCTGGGGCTGGAAAAGGATTGTTCTGTGGGACTGAGCTGTGAGGAGAACCTGCTGACACTTGATATGGAGTGCAGAGTCACACACTAATGCAGTGCAGAGGCTGGGAAATAGGAAAGCTCAAACTGAAGGCATCACCTCCTTTCCCAGGCAAACACCCAAAGGCTGTGGCACAGCCTGAACAAAGGCAGCCCTTGGTTCTCAAACCCTGCGTTGAGCAAGACTTCAAAATCTGATGCTTTAATTGCACCTGGGCGGACAACCCTGAGCCACCCACCCTGGCTGGGGCTGGGGATGAGAACACCTGGGATACCAGGCAGGGGAGGGCCCCATGACTGCAGCAGCCCTGGCTGGACCCTCCCTCCCGTGACCAAGTGGATTTTTCTCCTTTTCCACGTGCTGCTCGTCACCTCTGTGATGCCCTGCATGGGTGGGAGCAGGTTCCTCCTCTGGAATGCAGTCAGGGAACATCCTGCCATGCACTTAACTCATGACCTGCTGTGGCAGCATTTCTGGCATCCCAGTGGTGCTTCAACCAGGGCTCCAAAGCTAAAAGCAATCTCAAATATGGAATAAATAATAATTGGGGAAATTTTCTTACCCTCAGAAAAATGCACACTAATATTTTAGCACATGTAACACCCGAATTGCTTTTTCTGCTTCAACAGATCAACTTGGAGGGATAAGAATTTGGGAAAAAACCAGGATATAATGGTAAAGGTAGAAAATTACAGGAGTTCCACAATTAACTTACAGGTATTCACGGGTTTGCTGATGAGGGCAAAATTGCACTCACAGTTCTTCAATATAAACAATTTATTTACCATATTTATCCTAAATTTCAGAATGAGTTCAGCAATTAGTCCTTACTCACCCAGCTTTGGGAAGCAGCTGTTCCTATACACATCCCAACATTTGTTTTCCAATGAACTTTTTTCCCATCGTGGTACTTCATTGCCCACATTTGCTCTGTCAAACATTAATTTATGAGGACAAAGACACCACAAGGTCCCTGAAAATGCCAGCAACACTTGACATTCTCCAGTGGGAATGCTAGACCCAGTTCCCTGGGATGGCCCACGAGGTCACCTGGCTGCCCACACCCTCTGTGGCCCCTTTAGGACAGACCCATTTTCACAATCTCTGTGATCTCTGTGGGTAACCTGTCTCCATGGTTGACTCCTCTCATGGTTGTGAAATTTGTTTTGCTCCCATCTAATTGGAATTTCTCTCCCTGCAATTTGCTCTGTTCCCTCTTCCTTTCACTCTGGGGCTCCAGGAGGACTCTGGCTCCCATTCCCTCTGTTTCCTCCAGCTCCCAATGGAGCCAAACCCTTCTCCCGAGTTTTCCTCTGTGTTTCACCCCCTCAGCTTTCACTTGGTGCTTCCCCACGGGCTCTGCTCCAGCATTTCAGGGCCCTTCCCTGCCAGGGAGCCCAGAACTGTCCCAGAGCAGCAGCTCCAGCCTTGCCAGGGACACCTGGGGCAGTTATGGACGGAAATTCAAGTGCAGAGCTGGAAAATCTCCTTACATGAACTGGGCAGGATTTGTATTCCCTGAGAGGGATGGGATGGGATGGGGTGGGGTGGGATGGGGATGGGATGGGATGGGATGGGATGGGATGGGGTGGGGTGGGATGGGGATGGGGATGGGATGGGGTGGGATGGGATGGGATGGGATGGGATGGGGTGGGATGGGATGGGGTGGGATGGGATGGGATGGGATGGGATGGGATGGGATGGGATGGGATGGGATGGGGTGGGATGGGATGGGGTGGGGTGGGATGGGGTGGGATGGGATGGGACGGGACGGGACGGGATGGGATGGGATGGGATGGGATGGGGTGGGATGGGGTGGGGTGGGATGGGGATGGGGATGGGATGGGATGGGACGGGACGGGACGGGATGGGATGGGATGGGATGGGGTGGGGTGGGATGGGGTGGGGTGGGATGGGGTGGGATGGGATGGGGTGGGGTGGGATGGGATGGGATGGGGTGGGATGGGGTGGGATGGGATGGGGTGGGATGGGGTGGGATGGGGTGGGATGGGGTGGGATGGGATGGGGTGGATGGGATGGGATGGGGTGGATGGGATGGGATGGGATGGCATCCATGGCATGGCATCCATGGCATGGGAGTCACTGGGAGCACTGGGCTGGGCCCTCTCCTCATTGCAGGGTCAGGATCTGCCCGCTGCAGTTTCAGTGTCAGGACACCCCTGAGGGCTGTGTGTGCTCCAAACCCTCCACAGCAGGAGGAACTTCTGGCACACTTTGGGTTCTGCTCCTGTTTCCTAATTGCTCATAATTGTCCATCAACCACAGACATGTCCTGAATCCTCCCCACGAGTTCCTGCATGCTCCTTGCCAGGATTTTCTCCAGAAAAGCTCCCCAGAACACAAAATCACTGACAGCCCCAAGCAGGGGGATCCAGACCAAGCCCAGTGCAAACCCCACCCTGCCTTTTGTCCTCTCAGCCCTGCAGGAACACACGTCCAAATTAGGGAAAAAGAAAAAAAATTTAGAACAAAACCACTGAAGGGCATTCAAAAAATAAAATTCCAGGCTGCCAGCTCCAACTGGATCTTTGCCCGTCCTGGAATTTGGATTTGATGGCATTTATGTTTTTTTGTCCTGTTAAGTGATGAGAAATTCAACATTTATTGATTAGCTCTATTCCTTAAAGACAAAATTATTCATATCCCTCTTGGATTGAGTTAGAGGGGCCCAAGGCTTACCCAACCTATTGAAATCTTTTCTGCAGAAGCTTTCAGGCCCTTTTTTACTGGAATGAACACCTCTGGCCCCAGTCCTACACAGAGAAAGCCCTCCCTGCAGTGAGGGAATCACTGAAATACTGGGAATTGAGGTGGTGTGCAGGGATTTTTCCTGTTGAGGTTTTTGCACATTTAGGTGGTAAATCACTATGAGAAGGAGGGCTGGAAACCAAGCTGTCACCTCCAAACTCCACATCACTCTGGGCTTCTGAAAATGGAGCCTCAGACCTGAGTGTCCCATGGGGACTCTGTCATAAAGACAGAAATTGCTGCCTTTTGGTTAAGCCACCAACAAATGTGGGGTTTGTTTAAGGAACCCCTCCTGTTGTGCTGGAAATGGGGAAATGGGAGCAGAGGAATCTCCCCATGTCCCAGGCTGGGCAGGAGCTCAGGGGATGCTCAGGGGCTGGGAGCTCCTCTCCTGCCCTGGCCAGGCAGTGCCCTGGGCTGCCTCTGCTGCTCCTCTCCCAAAACGTCACTTTTGACCCCAAAATGGGCACATTTGAAAGGAAAAGGAGCCCTGGGGATGCTCTGGGCTGGGTGTGAAGGGTTTCTCTCCCAAAATGTCACTTTTGACCCCAAAATGGGCACATTTGAAAGGAAGAGCAGCCCTGGGGATGCTCTGGGCTGGGTGTGAGGGGTTTCTCTCCCAATACATCACTTTTGACCCCAAAATGGGCACATTTGAAAGGAAAAGGAGCCCTGGGGATGCTCTGGGCTGGGTGTGAGGGGTTTCTCTCCCAAAACGTCACTTTTGACCCCAGACTAGGCACATTTGAAAGGAAAAGGAGCCCTGGGGATGCTCTGGGCTGGGTGTGAAGGGTTTCCAGCAGAACACACATTTCCCAGAGCAGCTGAAGGGCTCAGTGCATGGCCACAAGCAGCTCAGCTCAAACCACGGCTCAGAAACAGCTCAAAAACACCACAAAAAAAATAAGAATGAAGCCCTCCTGGGATGACTGTTTTGGCAAACAGCCAAGCCAGGATTATTCTTGCCTGGGAACGGTGCTCAGCTGTGAGTCCCCGTGGCAAGAGCAGAGCAGGCAACCCTGAGTCAGCCTGGCTGCGGGGCTGGGACAGGAATTGAATGAGGCTGGGCTTAGGCAGGAGCATCGGGACAATCTCCGGACCTGCCCTGGGCGCCTCCTTCCCCAGTGGCCCGCAGGGGATTTCATCACCAGCCCCGGCTATAAAGGGCCATGGCCACGGTGCCAGCCCTGTCACAGCGCAGGCAGCTGGGCACAGCCATGAAGGTCACCCTGGTGCTGCTGGCAGTGGCAGCTCTGTGCCTGGCATGTGAGTAACTCCTGCACTCCTCGGGGCTCTGCTCCAGTGCTCCTGCACTGGCTGGGAGGGAGAAAATGGGATTTTCGATTAAAATCCTGTTATTTAGCACCATAAGGGTTCATAACCCGGCTGGGGCTGGGCTGGATGGAAGCTGCTCCTTGCTGGGTGTAGCTCAGAGCTGTGTTCTGTGTCTCAAAAGAGCTGCAATGCCTCAGAACCACCTGGTTTTGTCTGTTTATTTTTAAATTTCCATCTGAGAAGGGAGCTGGGAGCTGGTGGGGTCCTGCCCTGCCAAACTGACCAAGCAGGGGACAGCTGATGATGCTCAGGTCACATAAAACAGCTGGAATCATGGTTTTTTGATCTTATTTTTCCAGGCTGCAGGGAGATTTGAGGGATATGTTGCTCTTAAAAAGAGGGATCTGGGAGGAATTTCTTCAGCCTTTACTTGGCAATTTTATATTTACTAAAAATTTGCAGTAAAAATGCATTTTTAGAGAAAAATAAGTGCATTTAAAAAAACGGAAAGACTTCACACCTCTGCAGGTAGTATAGAAGTTTTAAAGCATAATGAACATTAAAGATGCAAAATAATGAAAATATTAAATGCAAAATTATGACACAAAATAATCTTTTAAGTAGCTCTGAAGAGGTTGCTTTGAAATTTGTCTCAACCCCAAAATTTTTATTAAAAACAGCAGTTTAAATGAAATGTGATGGAAATAATACATTCAGTGTTTCATTAACTGGTGGGAAATAAAGAAATATTCCTCCCATTAGAATTCCAGGAAATCTCTTCCTTGAACTTTCTGGTTTATCTTGTCTGCTTGAAAACTTCATGAATCAGCACTTTCTGAGCCACACCTTTATTGCATTCACTCCGTTTGCAGAGTGGCTCCTGAAAGGTTACCAGAGAAAAAATCAGATGTGAATGGTTGGGTGGAAGTGGAATAAATCAAATCCAATTCCAGAATAATGAAATCTCAGTCAGTCTCTGGTGACAGAGATGGAAACCTGATCTGGAGCTTTATTTCTGCTCATTTTCTTTATGCTGAACAACTGGATTTGATGCGAGGGTGTAAACAGGTTTATGAAAGGAGTTTTTGTGCAAAGTTTAACCTTTGAAGATCAAAAAAGCCAAATTTATTCCGAAAGACAATTGCTAGAGCTCTGCTCCAGAACACACTTGGAAAGTTTAACCTTTAAAGATCAAAAAAATCCAAATTTAATCCAAAAGAGAAGTTCTAGAGCTCTGCTCCAGAGCACATTCCTGCTCCTTCTGCACAGAAATCTCTCCCTGGACCTGCCACCCCTGGAAGCCCAGGATGTGATTATGGGACAGCAGAGGGGCAAACACATTCCTAAGGAAAGTAAGAAATGTGTCAGCAGCGTGGAGCCACGCCAAGGAGCTGATTGCTTTGTGGGAGGTGTAATTAGCAGTGTTTGGAAGGAGCTCCTTGAAGCCCCACCTGAGGACAGGGCTCTGCTCCAGAGGAATGAGGTAAAAATAGGAGCCAGCCACCTTAAAATCCACATTGAAACAAGGGAAACGCTTCCTAATGTGGGATTATGAGCCAGATTGTATTATCACTGTTATTTACAGTCAATATTGTATTTAATTCTCATTATTGACAGGAAACACAGATATAGAAGGGATTTGTGGTTTGCTCACAGCCACATGCAGCTCTCGGTAAACTCAGGATTAAACCCCAGTCATGTTCAACCACCAGTTAATCCTGGACATTAAATATAAAATAACATGATGAACAGTAAGTACAATATTGACTGCTGGGCTGTCCGTGGTTTTGTGGTGAACAATGGCTCCATTCCCCCCCCTCCAGCAAAGGCTGTTCCAACAGGTGTCAGAGTTTCTAAGGTAAATAATGCACCAAACCCCACTTGTTCAATAGGTTCTGACACCTGGGCCTCACCAAACACTGCACAGCTCTGTCAGTATTGACATTTAAGGAGGTAAAAGATTCAGTGCTGCTGAGTGAAGTCATCCTGGTTTGCACCTGAGTGTTCATTAACTGTGCGTTTCCATTTTCTCTTTTGTGGTTCAGTTTCCACTGCAGATGCTGCCACACAGAATGAGGTGAGTGATTTCCTTTTTCCTGGATAAAAATATAGAATATGAGATAAAAAATTATAGTATAATAAAATGAGGTCAGAAAATAAGCATGTTAAACTTTAATTAAATGCTGCCAATTTACTGAGGTTTCAGTGAAAGTTCCTGAGTTTGGGATATGGGGTTGCCATAGAGTTGTCCTGACAACTTCCAGATGTTTTCACCTGTTTGGCATTCTGGGCAAGAAATTGGGCAAGGACAAGTTTTAACACAGAGAAATCTAAAATAAAAAAAAAATTAAAAAATATATATTTATTTGATGATGACCCTATAAGGCTTTTCTGATGACTTTTAGCTCCAAAATCAGGTACCTGGAAATTTTCATTCTCTCTGAGTACTCTGGGGTCAATGTCTGGAAGAAGGGAGGGGGTGGAGTCCATCCCTGAAGGGTCCAAGGAAGGGCTGGATGTGAATTGACCCCACCTGGATTTCCTGATTGTTGTGATGAGATAATAAAATACCCCCACACTCTGCTCCTCTGGGGCTGTGCTGTTCCTGCCCATCCCTGTCACAGGCAGCCCCACTCTCACCTCTGAGCAGAAATGTTTCATTTTTGGGGCTTAGCCTCTGCCAATAGAGGTGGTGCCACCTCCCTGGCTGTGCTGCCCCAAAATTGGATATATTCATGATCTCTGTGCATGGAGGATGTGTCACAGTAAAGCAGACAGGGCTCAGTTTCTTCATGCAGAAAAAGCCAATTTTTATTCAGCTATCTCATATTTATAGGAATTCTAAGGGCACTGTGTTAAACCCAACTGGATAACAATACACTGTCAGTTTATTGGTCAGTAAATGGAATTTTGTGCATCCACCAAACCTCTTTATTCTTGGCTTGTTTACACATCTTCCTCACTGATTCCCATTGCACCAATTTCTTGGTTTTGCAGGCACAAACTTATTTTTCTCACAAGAATAAATTGTTGTGTTAACTGACTTTTCATTCTTATGGCTTTTCTCATGGGAACAGGCAGATGAGCTGCACCCAGCCCCAGCAGCAGGCCCAAGCCATGATGTTATAAAGCCATTTTTTGTGAGTTTTTTCCCTGTAAGGCTTGGGGGTGTGAGACTCAGGGCTGCCCTCTTTGCAGGTGGACTGCAGTGAGTACAAGAGGCTGGAGAGGGGGAGGCCCATTTACTGTGAGAGGCTCTACCAACCCTTCTGTGGCTCTGATGGCAAAACCTACAACAACAAATGCTCCTTCTGCAAGGCTGTGCTGTGAGTACTGAGCTGCCATGGGCTTGAGCAGCTGGGATTTCCACCCCATAAACCTGCTGGGTTTCTTTAGGGTTGGTTCTTCTCTGCTCCTGTGCTTTACCTTTACCCCATGATTGTTCCTCCCACTCATAATGTCCAAGTGACCTAAAGAACAATTGATGGTGATGTTTGGGTGAGGACTTCCTATTCTGGTAGGAAGTGGAAAATAGGCAACTAAAAAATGACCCAGATATTCAGGACTGAACTTCCTATTCCAGCAGGAATGGTGAAGTTGGACACTAAAAAATTACTTGGATATTTGCGTGAGCACTGTCCTATTCTGGCAGGAAGCATAAAATAGTAAACCAAAAATAGTTTTATGAGTAACTTGCAACAGGCACTGTAAAGCTGAACACTAAAAAATTATTTCTCTTTGTGTGAGGAACTTGCTGCAGGTGCTGTAAGATTCAGTCACTAAAAAACACCCTGGTATTTGTGTGAGCAGCTTCCTATTCCAGCAGAAACTGTGAGTTTGGACAGTAAAGAGTCCAATGAGCAGCAGAGACCTGACAAAGCCCCTGCAGGTCACACACAAATTCAGAGGTGGTGCTGGCAATGTCTTGGGTTTATGGATGAAATGTGTAATTTTGCAAGGAAAGGTGCTTACAGAGGAGTGCCCTGGTGTCTGCTGTGGTGTCTCCTCTGCCAGCAGAGGGTTGCAGAGGCCCTCGGTGCAGCTTTGTGTGTGCAATGTGTGTTTGCCTTGCAGGAGGAGCAGAGGGGCCCTGCACATGAAGCAGGCAGGAGCGTGCTGAGGGAGCTGTGCTGGGGCAGCTCTGCCTCTCTGCCTTTGCTCATCCTGCCCTGCCAAGCCCAGCCTGGGGAAGAGCCAGCCCTGCTCTCCTGCTCCAGGGCTGGGGCTGACCCTCCCGTCCTCGCAGCACCGCTGCTCCTGTGCCTTCACACCAGCCCTTCCTTGGATCTTTGTCTCCATGGATGAAGTTCAAATCCCCTGACAATGCCTCAAGTCTGTCCCCCTCGTTTATCAAATGTTTTCTTTCCCTTACCCAGAAACTTCAGCAGATATTATTTTCCTAAAGGTTTTCAGCTTTCCCAGGCACTGCTCTGACTCTCCCAGTTTTGTAGCTGAATTTTAAGTGCTTATTTTTCATCCCTCTCTGTACAATTCTAGTTCTTGTATGTTGTTCAGCTACTCAGTGTGCTTGTTTATTAAAATAAACCTTCACTCTTTTTTTTTTGTCCATGGTGAACTTTCTAGAGAATTTATTGCATCCATGACTAACACGTATTTCCCAAATTACAGAAAACTACAGTGGAGCAGGGGCTGAGTCCAGAGGTAAAAATCCAAAGCTGGGATTCAAAAATTGTATCTTCTGGAATTTACCTCCCAGTCTGGCTCTTTTTTTTTTTTTTTTTTTTTTTTTTTTTGCTTTAAATGAGACCAATCTGGTAAAATATAAGACTGTAGCAGTCTGTTAAATCCTCTTATTTAAATGGGAACATTCATTAATCTTTTCACTTGACAAATTTCAGAACCTAAAGAAATTTACGTCCTGCTCTTACATCCTGATTGTCTTCACTGTTAATTTATGTCTTTTACTCAATACTTGGTCATGGGAATGTATTTTCCCAGAATTAAAATTGTGAATGACTGACCTTATTGGAGGAAAATTTTGGAGCAGCTGGACACAGAACAAATCCAGCCCTGTCCTTAATTCTGTTTATCTGGAAACCAGGTCCCAGCAATTAGGCAGCAGGAATGAAAATGAGGAAGGTAATATAAAAGTTCCTCATAGTTCAGAGGCTTCAGTAAAGAAGTTCCTAGAACAAACCACCTTGACTGAAAAAGATAAAAATGAGAAAACAAAGATCAAATTGCAAAAACAAAGGGAATCCCTGCGGTTTCCTCACGATGACAGAAAAACCTGATTTGTGGATATTCGCTGCCTTCCAGCCTCATGGATATTCCCACCCTCTGCTTTGGTTTGTTGGGATATTTAATGGGCTGTGCTTGTGCACCAAACCTTGGACACCAAAACTCTCCTGCAGCCCCAGGAGTGATGCAAGAGGCTGCAAGTCAGAGGTGTAAAGCACCCCTGCATTTCCTGGCACTGCAGTCTGCCCGGTCTGGTCATTCCTGACATGGAATCCCTGGGCAGGAGCAGCAGGAGAGCAGGACCTGCCCACCCGGGAGCTTTCCCTCAGCCCAGAGCTGGCAGAGCACAGCAGCTCCTGCCACATAGCAGAGCACAGAACATCACCTGCAAATTGCTGCCAGTGACACCTGGAGAAAATGCTGGAGAGGCTGGCCAGGCTGGCCAGTCGGGTCTGTGGGAGGGAGCAGAGCCATGGAAATGCGGGCAAGGGAAAATGAGCAGAGCCTGAGCGAGCTGAGCTCGGGTTCTGTGGGACAGAAAATAAAATACTGGTGTGGAACAGGAAACAGAACAGATCCTGCACTCAGGGGAGATTAGAGTGCAAAACTCTGCCCTGGAAGGGTTCCTAAATACCTGCTGTGTCTTTATACCTGATGTATTTACAGGTGAGGGACAAGGAAAGGTTTTTCTGAAGTCTTACAAAACATTTATTTCATTCTAAGTTAAATCTGGAGATCAGACAGTGGGATCCCTGCAAAAGCACAGCCAGTGCCAGAATAAAGCTGGCTGGGGTTAGCACAGCACCATTCTCACCTGAGCTCGTGCACCTGAGGCCTTTGGCTGCTCAGATGTTCTCTCAGAAGCTTTAATTTTGGAATGTTGAGGTTCTGCTCCCTGCAGAATTAATTATTGTGTAATTAACGTCTCCTTTGGTGATCAGGAGTGCCCAAGGATGGAGCTCTGGGACAGTGGGAGGGTCCCTGCCCATGGCAGGGGTGGGTGAGATCTCTGAGGTCCCTCCCAGCCCAAACCATTCCATGATTTACCAGCTAGGATGGAGAACGTTCATTCCCTCAGAAGGTAAAAGATTAAAAACCTCTCCTAGGGATGCTGCTAAGCATGGACAGTTTGTGGGGTGCAAAACTTTGGGTTTTTAAAGGAAGGCGTTAATTCCCTCAGTCCTTTTATTTTTGATTCAGCAATAGCTGTGTCAGAGAACCAGGATTCTGAAACCTCCCTAAAATATAAACTCTGTATGTCCAAATAGCTTCCACCAGCAGTAAATGAGAAACAAGAAATGCAACATGCTCTTTCATTTTGCAGCTGATCAAGACCAGAACAGAATTTTTATTGATGACTCTTCAGCATCTCTGATTGTTTTCCTTTGGGGGTCAGTTCAGATATCCTTGGGTGCCTTAAATTCTAAATTTTCCCACATATGGCAGTGGAGGGAGAAAGAAATGGAGCAACCCAAAACCCTTCAAAGAAAACCACTGATCTGTGGGGTAGATCACAGGGTTTCTGTTAGGAAAAAAATGGGGTGGTTTTGGTTTCTGCTGTCTGTCTTGTAACCACTTCACCATTCACACTCTGTGACTGTTTCAACAACAGCTCAACCCAAGGCCCTGCCCAAATTCCTTAATTCCATTTAGGTCTCCTGTGTCCTTCAGGCAGCCTCCTCTTGCTGCCACCCCTGTGTCCCCTCCCCTGGGCTGAGGGAGGGCAGGACAAGCTCTGCTCTTCCCACAGGAACCCTCACTTGTCCATTTTTGGGGCTGATTTCTTGGATGTTCTGCTATTTTTGAGGCTGTGTTGCTGTCACAGGTTGGACTCAGTGACCTCTGAGGCCTTTTCCAACCTCAGTGATGTTGTTGACACATCCAAAATCCACAGGGATTGCCAAGAATTTATTTTGTTATTCCTACTCTGCCACAGAGCGTTGTGGATTCCTCTGGGATTGTCACTGAACCAGCAGCTGAGTCTTTGCACGCTGTCATTCACAAAAAATAACTCACCAGCAGTCTGCTGGCTGATGAACGAGCCTTGTCACCCAATCCCTCGGGGCTTGCATGAAACATGACTTTAAAACGTTGAGGGAATTGTGATTTCTGCTGGGATCCACCCAAACACAGCCATTAAAACCAGGCTTCAGCGCAGACCTGCACAATGCTGCAAATACACGTGTGGGGCCAGGGTAGAGACTCTGTAGGGAAAATAATTTATAAACCTTGCAGAGCCTCCAAAGGAGGGGCATGAGGGTGGGGAGGGTCTGGAGGGGCCATGGAGGAGCAGCTGAGGGCACTGGGATTGTGCAGCTGGAGGAGGCTGAGGGCAGACTCCTGCAGCTCCTCCTGAGGGGCAGCTCCGATCTCTGGGACAGGGACAGGGAGAGGACCCAGGGAAGGGCTGCGGCTGGGCCAGGGGAGTTCAGGTTGGATTTTGGGAAAGGTTTTTCCCCCAGAGGGTGCTGGTACTGCCCAGGCTTCCCAGGGAATGGGCGCAGCCCCGACGCTACCAGAGCTCCAGGAGGGCTTGCACAGCGCTCCAGGGATGCCAGGGTGGGATTTGGGGGAGTCTGTGCAGGGCCAGGAGCTGGGCCGGATGCTCACAAAACCCTGCAATGGTTTGGGCTGGAAGGACCCTGGCGCCCATCTCATCCCGCCCTGCCAGGGGCACCTCCCGCAGCCGCGGCCGCTCGGAGCTGCATCCCTCAGCTCGGCACAGCCGGGACTGCAACTGCGCCAGCACCTCCGTTGACTCCCGTCCCTGTCGCTCTGTGCTGAGCGAGCCCAGCCCCGATCGGAGCCCCGAACGGAGCCCTCAGAGCCCCCGGTGCTCTCAGAACCTCCCATGCCTCGGTGCCCTCAGCACCCTCAGAGTCCCCGATGCCCTCAGAACCTCCGATGCTCTCAAAACGCCCGGCGCCCTCAGAACCCGTGGTGCCCTCAGAGCCCCCGGTGCCTCAGAGTCCCCGGTGCCCTCAGTGCCCTCAGCGCGGCCCGGGCGGTGCCTCCCCCCCGCTCCCCCGCCTTAGCGCGGCCGGAAGCGGAAGCGGCGCGCAGGAAGCGGCGGCGCTGGCGGAAGGGGCCGCGCAGGAAGCGGGGCCGGGGCTGCCCCGCAGCCACAACCGGGGCGAGGGCGGCGAGCGGAGCCAGGGCAGGTGAGGGCAGCGAGCGCCAGGGGAGGGCAGCGAGCGCCAGGGGACGGGGGCGCGGCCGGCTCGGCCCCGGGGGCGGCGGGGCGGGCAGCCGGAGGCCGCCGCCGCCTCCCGGCGCCGCGGGCTCGGGCCGGCCCCGCTGTCACAGGCCCCGGGGGCCCCCCGGGAGTGACCGGCGGTGCCGGGGCTATGGGGGAGCCTGGTTTTCCTTGGCTCATCTCGGCACAAAGCACCGCGTCCTGGCGTTTCCCCCGCTCCGGGAGCGCCCCTCGCTACCGGCGCTGCCGGCCCGGCCCTGGCTGCTCTCGCTGCGTTTTTCCTCATTTCTCGCTGCTGCGGAGTCTCCCCGTGGTTCTTTAAGCTTTTTAAGGTCCGTGGGGTGTTTATTCATCAAAAATAGAGCACGTCGAGCTGTTGTTTCGTGCGACCTTCATTGTCGGGAATAAATTGAGGTGGGGGCCGCAAAATCCCGTTTGATTTATTGGATATATAAAGCTCTTCCTGCTGTGAAGATTTGTCTTTTATTTTTAAATGGGGTCAGCTCGATGATGTAGAATGAGGTGTTAAAGCTGTGCTCATTAGCTCAGAATAACCCCAGGAGGAGCTTTAATTGTGCAGAAACTGCAGACTCATGGAGACAAATCCTTTTTCTCCCCCTTCGTGGCAGGGGCGGGTTGTGCTGGAGTCATTTGTGTCTTGCAGGGTTTTTCCTGCTTTGCCTGTTAATATTTTCATTTCTCTTGCCTTTTGCCCCAGTGCT